GAGGATAGTGCCAGTCCCCTCGACAACCCAAAAATTCGCTTCCATACACGACCTTACCCGTTCTGGATGGAAGGCGAGTTTACGGCGCCTCCTGCGGAAGAGCATGGAGGAAGCCGGCTCTCCTTAAAAGCCAACAATTCGCCTCCACCCATCTATTTCCCCTTTCCGAAAGGGAGAGTGCGCGGCGCCGAGTGGAAAATGCCGTGCCCCTCGAAAAGTCAAAAGTCCGAACTCTCCGGTCGAAGAGCCCACTATCCTCATTTTCCCCCTCCTTGAAACTGCGAGTGCGCGGCATATACCCATTACTTTCACCTCTGCATGCGCTATGCATTAGAGTTTCACGCTGAGCTATTGAGGATGGTTCAACTTCTACGTAATAACTGTACGTGTACGCAGATGTCCTCATAGGGTTCTAAACGGCTGTTCACTTACTTGCAGCCTCATCGCTGCCGATTTTGGGGGTAGGGGGTGTCCGCGCGGCTGCGCTAAGCCGCCGAACTCCTTTCTTCACCATTTCTCCACCATAATTAGGAGAGTACTATTTTTTCTTTAGAATTTTTCTACTAATCCGGATTCTCTACAAATCAGTCTCTACCCACGGCTCAGCGACGCAGACGCCTTTGAGCTTTTCTGTGCCGAGTGACCCTCGCATTACGAACCCACCCCCCAACTCAACAGCAATACGACCCCATGTTGGAATACTCAACGATGATGTGCCCAGGAAGGGCGAGGAGGTATGTAGCACACGTGAAACGGTTAGAAGCCGCGAGGAATATACGACCTCTACCCTCATTCTACGTACTCTTTTCTAGATCTCCCCTACTCCTCCACCTTTCCCATTTTTTTTCGGAAGTTCCCTAAAAAGGATTATTATTCTTCAATAAATTATATCAGTTTTAGTTTCGTTCTTGCTGTATACATAGAAAATGGATGGTCTGTTTTCAGTTCTATCTCAGTTCGGCTTAAATTAAGCTCTATATAGCAGAAAATGGGACAAATATGCCGAAATTGAGTGAGACGCTCAGCGTCGACTTACAATGTGGTGTTAGTGTTGTGGTCAAAATTTGCTCTACTGGTTGAGTATGAGGCGAGATATTAAGTCATCCCATTCAAAAGTGCCGTCGGTTTTTTTCGAATAAAACAAAGAGGAGAATAGATAAAAAAGTAATATTTTGGCTTCAAGTTAAGTAAATCCCTCCTTCACCAATGACCCGCTCCCAGTGCCCCGAAAGCCTTTGGACCTCTGGTACCTTCGATTTTTCAACAAGTGCGAGTAAATTGCTGTTGATGCCAATTTCGGCGAATGACAAAACATTGTAGCGTTTGCCGTCGGAGAGTACTCTCGACTGACGAGAACAATTGGAATCGCTCGGCTTTATGTGGGGCGAATGGGGCGATTGAACCCAGGTCTCAGTATTGTTTGTGTCCCAGCACTGCCCTACAATACAGTTACTCGGGGTCTGGCACTATGACGAGCAACGGTGGCCTTCTTGTAGTTGTGTGGTATCATCCATTTGTCGATCTGATTGCCGAGGAACAGGCAATATACACCGACAGCGACGATTTTATTCTCTGTATAGAGCCGCCTGAAAGCCACAGTGTGGGAAGTGAACGTTGCAAGTGGTAGATAGCGATTAATTCTATTTTTTATCTGCCATATGACCAGATACTTACCCAAATCGCACTGCTGGCTCGTCAGCACGGGAAAATGCCAGAATTGGTGTGAACATTCCTCACTACAAATAAACACAACTTTCCATGACAAGGTTATCCTTGCCTGTGAAGTGAAGCCGCTACCACTGCGCCACGGTGGCAGTGACGCACTAGCGTTCAGCAAGGCTCACATAACAACATCGCATTCAGAGCAGATTTTGATAACCCAGAATGCATTTGGAGAAGCTCAGTGGCACTTTCAATCTGCATGTTCGCAGCAAGCATTCGGGAGTGCCGGCGCGCATCGGTCTTCACTTAAAGTTCCACGATTCGGGAGTGCCGGCGCGCATCGGTCTTCACTCAAAGTTCCATGAGAGGTTGAGGCCTTCCCCTTATTAGTGAGTGTCATTAGCACCTGAGTACAAAAGAGTTCCGGAGTTACGAAACTCTGTAAAAAGTCGAAAATAGTACCACAATCGGTAAGGAATCGAGCATATGCGGGACCAGAAAGGTCATGCGAATTTACAAAATGGTCTTATTTGATTATGATAACTGCCATTCAGCGCAGCAGTTCGCATTCTGGAAGTTCGAAAAAAAGCACTGAAGGCACTCAGTCAGGACCTTCGCCAAGCTGAAGTGAAACTAAGCAGCAGAAACACCTGCATGAAAATAGTGACAAGTTCATTTCACAATAAACAATTACATTGTGGAAAAAAGTGTTCGACAACTTAAGGTGTCAGAAATAGGCACAATCAAGCGGAACAAACGGCAGAAGCGGGGACCTGGCAGAGCACGACCTTTCGGTTCAGTTCATCAAGGAATTCACTAGAATAGATACCTCCACCGACATGGTAAGCCACTACAGCTGAATCGTTAGCAAGCGAACAGTCCTGTGACACCCCCTACGAAATCCACAACCCACCTTTTTCACTCCCTTCATCAGACCTTGTCAATTGCTATCGTCTTGCGTCGTCCAGAAATAGCGCTCATGCCCTATCCCCTACATCACGTCTTGGAACCAACATCCGAAGTAAGCGTGATGAGCGCTATGATTTTCCGGTCAATTACACAAACTCTCACATATTATGCAACAGGCTCATGACGCTTATTAGTGGTGTGAAGCGGTATTCGACTAATTGACGAACACTGGGGCTACACATATTTGTCTGCATAGACATATGAAATAAATAAGGGGTAAAGGAGATGCCGAGAGACCTAGGGTGGACGACTGGTGCTCCTTTCACCTACTATCATCCTACGTCGGTGGCTGTTGTGATGCCCATCGTATTAGTGGGTGGCGCCGCAGGTGACACTCGCCTTGCAAATGGCAAATCTACGAGCAAACGATACACACATCCACGCGCTAACAGACACATTTGGTGAAGCATAGATAACAGATATGTAATTCGCTGACTTTGTCTGCATGCGTGCGTGTGTCACACATAACTCATAGCGCTCACCACAGCAGAGAAGCGGAGTCAGGATAAATAGCTGGTCGGATCTAGAAAATCTTCTACTAAACACAAGAGCACCTGTCCTGCAACCAATTAAGGGCTTCAACGATCAAGCTAGTATTAGAGCTTTACGAACGCTGTTTTCAAAAGGAGTTTCGATAGTTGAATCCGTTTTCAGAAAAATCATAGCTTTAAGCTAGTAGTCCAATCCACGGTTCAGGTACTGTTCAGACGCTTCCAGTTATGGTGTTTCTCATCTCATAAGGGTTTTCAATTTTGTTTGTCTTGGAATCTCCTATAAAAGGCCACTAGGCTGCTTGTGGAGAGGGGAGATGGCACAGGAGAATCAGCTCTGTAATGTTCGCTTCACGAATTGAACCGTGAAACAAGCACAAGTATCACTGCAGCTTTGGGTAGGCTAGGCCCACCATTTAGATTGCAGAGAAAGTGACATCGGGCGGCTTGGCTAGTTTTCTCTAGCTAACGTTGCAGCGGTGTGGCTACTGTTCACTGCTTATGCTTGACATTTTCAACCACTTGACAAGAGTTGCTCGGGAAAACCTTTATAGGAGTGTTCATAGATATTTCGACGCTTCAGGAACTTTCATATGGAAGGGGCTTTCAGATTACATCTTACTCATAAAGGCACACGACCCTTACTTTGTTTCCATCCACCGCACCGTCGCACCCAACTTTCGTGCCTGGAGGAAGGAGACGCGCCTGGAAAAGTGAGATTAGCCAGAAATAGAGGAAAAACAAAACACGTTTGTCCAAAAAGAAATTTTTGAAATAGGTATTCGCAGAACGCTGTTATTATTTTTCTTGCTGGAGAACGGACTCACTCTATTCAGTTGTCCTTTTTCCTTTAAGCCAGCCATAAGGGCTAAGCGTACTTTGGATTCCAGTGATGGTCTTGAGCTACTTGAGAAAGTCCTTAATAGACACAGTTATTTCATGAGAAGAACAAAGCAAGAGGCTGTGTTGGAGAATTCGTACGAACCTTTCTCCCGTGAATTTATTAGGTATAGTAGTGGTTCCTGGATTCTTCGCTTCGTCGCAGGCGTCATGAATGAGTGTAGGGTCATACTCCTGATGACAAGAGATAACTTTCCTTTGAGATTTTATATCAGGGAACTCCTCTGACTAGTGCACTATGTGAAGGGCAGAGAGCGATAAGGTACTCTCAATTTATAGTATGTTATCGATAGTGTATAGCGCATGGCTTGCATTGAACACACCACATAGTTAATGTACATCAAGATTTTCAGAACGGTTGATTTGCTCAATGGGTTTGTACCAGAATATATCTGAGCATTTATAAAGGAAACCAACCAGATCAGGATTGATGTAGCGCATATTGAATTCCTTATATAATCCACCCAATGCATGGTAGGTGAGGCATTCCGCTAAATACACTATAGTTAGTACTCTACTATTTATGATCCCCTATGCTGATCGTTGGGCAGGAGGTGGTGTAGTGACAAGTGGCTCACTACTCGCGCAGTTCTGGGTTCAAATCCCGGGTCGACTCCCGCCCAGGCCAACCAAGCCTTCTACCCTCCGGGGACGGTGAATTGGTACCAGATTCGTCTGGGAGGATAAAACACTGACTTGTACATCGGCTGGCCAGCAAGTCATAGGCCACATCGCATTCAATAAGCCACTACGATTCTGAATGGAAGTAGAATGCGTGCCGCATCCCACAAAGGGATTGATCAACGGCGAAGACTTTATCCTTATCCATAAGTTGTTCGTTGGTGGGTATATGTGTTTCCTGGACCGGAAACTCATTACTTCCTTTGATTTAGCCGTAGAGAATTCAAACCAATGATTAGTATATCGTGTGGGGCGAGAACGTTATTGCTGGAGAAAGTGATGTGAACAGAGAAGAGGTTATAAAGAGGAGGTGGATTCATATCGCAACAACAGGGCACGTTGGTTCTAGAATGTAATTCAGGGGCTGAGGTGAGAACACTGATGGTAGAGCATAGGCTGCGACATAGGGACCGATAAAAGCTGATAAGGGTGAGTCTCTGCTCCCCTCCTCTACACCAGTATCACACGAATTTAGGGGAATTGCTCCACCATTGTTACTAAGGATACGGATAACAATCAATCAATTGCACTCACGCTCAGCGCCGACGTTCACTAGGAGAAGTGACAGTGCTATGACAGCGAACAACATTCGAACTACGACAACTCTAAGTCGTTGCACTCCACTTTTATAGGACGTTGACAGCACCTTTCTACTGCACATATTTACTAGATCCAGTTGGAAACACTTTTTACATAAAGTTTGCTGTACTTTCCATCTTTTTAGTACACTCTGGTTCCACGTGCTCTGCACTTCAACGAAGCTTTTTCCCAGAAATCAATATCGCCGAGCGCACTGATTCACAATCCACATTTGATCGTTCATCGCTTCTCTGCTGTGTACAGTGTCGAGTTGGTATCCACAATGTCTTTCTACGAAACAGACCCGTAATGGCCTTTGTTTCCGCACGATGGATATCCCGTTGCTTGAAATTGCTTATAGTATGTGGAAATAACTAGGCTTGTTTGGGCTTACGGAACTCTCAAGATCTCACAAAACCTATAGAACACCGCAAACTCGCACGAAACTGGCTCATGCTTGCGTTGCCTTCAAGCAAATGGCTGCGCCTCTATGTGAATTGACATAATGGGTCAAATGTTGCGAATGTTCGCAGTGGGTTCAACACTGTGAAAATTTGAAGCACTGCTGGGTTGAACCGTTCACCGCTCACCGCGTCCATCCCTGACAAGGGGACTCCTCGAAAACTTGTCATCACCCGAACTGTGTCTAACGACGTGAAAAGTTTCCTAATTTCAGAGTGTCTTAGGTGAACTTGTAGTGTTTATTATTCTATAATCTTCCGTGCCCGTAAGTTTCATCTGGAGTTGCAGCCGAATATTGCGAGAGTATTGTTAAGAACTTCTGGGCTACACCGAAGCCCCCAATACCTATGTAAGCACATAAAAACTTTCTTTACACATTATAAGCAGCTTCGGGAAGACCGGATGCTCCAGGTTTCCAGCAAATGTTCACAAGATTTGTTCCATCAAATGACATAGTGAACGCACCTTCAAAAGTGACAACAGTTTGGAAGCGAAAAAAGATCAGGCGCGGATAGCGATACACTGCGCTTGGCTACTATCGATTCCTGGGAGAAAGCTTTGTCGGAGAGCAGAACACGTGTAAGTACGTGTATTGAAAAGAAAGGAAATTCAATAAAAGATTCATATGAAACCTATAAAATATATGCCCTATAAAAGTGAAGCACGAGCTGAAGGAGTTGTTATTGTCCAAATGTTGTTCGCTGCCATAACACTAAGCTTTCTCTTGGCAAACGTTGGCGCTGAGCGTGAGTGCAGTTGGTTGATTGTTATTACGGTATTCGCAGCCACTGCATTAGTTTGAGCTTTCTTCAATGTTTTCGGAAAAATGCCCTTATTCGAGTTTTTTCAGCGGAATGCCTCACCTACCATCCATTAGCCGGATTGTATAAAGAATTCAACATGCGCTATATCAATCCCGATCTGGTTGGTATTTTTTAGAAGCGTTCACATCAATTCTGACCGGAACACAGTGTGCACGCCAATCCCTCTGAATTCGTAGTGGCTTTCACTAACTTCAATAGTACTGTACTGGTTTTTGCTCTTCACAAATGGTGCAGTAATCAGAGGAGTTCCACAATATGATAAAAATATCATGAAACCTAAAAGTTGGCAATTTTTTCTTGTCATCAGGACTATGACCCTACACTCATTCATGACGCCTGTGACGAAGCCAAGAATCCAGGAACCACTACTATACCTAATAAATTCACGGGAGAAAGGTTCGTACGAATTCTTCAACACAGTTTCTCGCTATATTCCTCTCATGAAATAACTGTGTCTATTAAGGACTTTCTCAAGTAGCTCAAGACCATCACTGGAATCCAAAGTACGCTTAGCCCTTATGGCTGGCTTAAAGGAAAAAGGACAACTGAATAGAGTGAGTCCGTTGTTTAGCAAGGAGAATAATTACAACGTGCTACACCTATACAATAATATACATACAATACAACAAATACCTTTTTCAAAAACTTCTCTTTGGACAAACGTGCTTTGTTTTTCCTCTATTTCTGGCTAATCTCACTTTTTCCAGGCGCGCCTCCTTCCTCCAGGCACGAAAGTTGGGTGCGACGGTGCGGTGGATGGAAACAAAGTAAGGGTCGTGTGCCTTTATGAGTAAGATGTAATCTGAAAGCCCCTTCCATATGAAAGTTCCTGAAGCGTCGAAATATCTATGAACACTCCTATAAAGGTTTTCCCGAGCAACTCTTGTCAAGTGGTTGAAAATGTCAAGCATAAGCAGTAACAGTAGCCACACCGCTGCAACGTCAGCTAGAGAAAACTAGCCAAGCCAAACTAACCGTACCTGAACCGTGGATTGGACTACTTGCGGAAAGCTATGATTTTTCCGAAAACAGATTCAACTGTCGAAACTCCTTTTGAAAACAGCGTTCGTAAAGCCCTAATACTAGCAATTCGGACCTGACTTCCAAATCTGCTAAACGATTCTAAAGAAGAAGTTACGGTCCTTTTCACCTACTTAACCATTGCGATACGAATATGGGCCCCCTGCCCATACTTTGCGCTTGTGAACCCCTCGTGACACAACCGCAACGTGGCTCGATGGCGCAGCAGGTAGGTGAGCGGGCCTGTAGTGGTGATACAAAGGAAAGACAATTGCGGACATGTCCACATATCCAAGACGCAGTGAACCCCTTTGCTGGTGCCCCTCGAATTGCAAAATATTTGGCCGGCGCTCGCCTCGCTGCCTTTGGCGGATCGATCGATAAATCGACCCTCGCTCGTCGCTTTCGGGCGCAATCATCGCTTTGAAGATAGTTCAAATCGTAAAAATATTTCGAAATGCCCTGGAATAACAATACCGTTAACAAGGTTCACATTTCAGGTTTCGTTTGCTCGTGAAAATTTGAATAATTTTGTCTGAACGATAATTATGCATTTTTCCTTCGCGCTTTCAATATATTCCTGTAAGTTCATATTCCTGGTACATTTCGAGGCCCCCTCGAAAAACCAAAAAAAAACGCCTCCATTCGTGACTTTGCATGTCCTGGATGGAAGACGAGTGCAAGGCGTATCCTGCGGAGGCCAGTGGAGGACGCTGTGTCCCTCTGAAAGGTCTAAAATTTGCCTCCTTTCATGCCTTTCTCCCTTCTGAATGGATGACGAGTGCAAGGCGGACCCTGTGGAGGAGAGAGGATAGTGCCAGTCCCCTCGACAACCCAAAAATTCGCTTCCATACACGACCTTACCCGTTCTGGATGGAAGGCGAGTTTACGGCGCCTCCTGCGGAAGAGCATGGAGAAAGCGAGCACCCTTGAAAGGCCAAAAATTCGCCTCCACCCATCTTATGAGAAGCGAGTGCGCGGCGTGTCCGGCGGAAGAGCATGGAGGAAGCCGGCTCTCCTTAAAAGCCGACAATTCGCCTCCACCCATCTATTTCCCCTTTCCGAAAGGGAGAGTGCGTGGAAAATGCCGTGCCCCTCGAAAAGTCAAAAGTCCGAACTCTCCGGTCAAAGAGCCCCACTGTCCACATTTTCCCCCTTTTGAATGGGCGAGTACGCGGAATATCCCCATTACTTTCACCTCTGCATGCTCTATGCATTAGAGTTTCACGCTGAGCTATTGAGGATGGTTCAACTTCTACGTAATAACTGTACGTGTACGCAGATGTCCTCATAGGGTTCTAAACGGCTGTTCACTTACTTGCAGCCTCATCGCTGCCGATTTTGGGGGTAGGGGGTGTCCGCGCGGCTGCGCTAAGCCGCCGAACCCTTTCTTCACCATTTCTCCACCATAATTAGGAGAGTACTAATTTTTTCTTTAGAATTTTTCTACTAATCCGGATTCTCTACAAATCAGTCTCTACCCACGGCTCAGCGACGCAGACGCCTTTGAGCTTTTCTGTGCCGAGTGACCCTCGCATTACGAACCCACCCCCAGCTCAACAGCAATACGACCCCATGTTGGAATACTCAACGATGATGTGCCCAGGAAGAGCGAGGA